AAAATTCAGACATCACGTTAATTAATAATTCGTGTAATTAAAATGATTACTGTTATATCTATATACGTATACTTATATCATATAGAAATTGTAATTTCGATCGATCGAACAAATATTTTTCAAATTATGTAGATTGTAGATTTACGCTGGAATCAACGGTGATCAGCCGCGTACAAAATATTAATGCGTAATATTAATGCGATTTCTTTTCCCTCTCGAGCAAATCTTTTCAATTTCGTGACGATTTCATTGCCGTTTGCCGATGACGGCCTGCTCATTACGATGATTCTCTTTAGTGGAAATACGAAGAACTGAGACGCAAACGCGCGCGCGCGCGTATGTGTGTGTGTGTGTGTGTATATGTGAGTAAATATTTTTTTGAAAATTTTATTTCTAAATTTTTCAAAATATTTTAAGAAATTAATAAAATAATAATCAAAGAATCAAAATTTGTGAATTTTTTAAACGTCCTGAAAGAATTATAATGTGAGACAAAAACATATGACGTGTTCTCACTAATTTCTTCAGAAGTTTCTCGTATTGATATAAAAAAAATTGTTCACAAATTTTAATTCTTTGTTTAGTAAATATTTTGTTTAAAAGTTAAAGGTTCTGAAATTTTATAATACAAACTTATTTTGATAAAAGTAAGTAACTCCACGTTCAAAAATATATTTATTTTTTTTATTTTATCTTTATATTTGACAGACTTTATATCTTCCCATTGTAGTTTTTAAATTATTTTTTATTCATATTATTAATCCATTTAATTTTTATTTATAATGTTATACAGAAACAAATTTTTATTACAATGCAAAAGATACGCATAATTCACGTGTTTGTTCCTCGGTGTTCCATGATGTAGAACGTATGATATACTTGTAAATATAGACAAGTACAATAATTGCCAAAATAATTCGAGGCTTAAGATCGAATCTTAATCTTCGATCTTTCCGCCGATGCTGATCCAATCAACTGATCGGTGGCAAATAATTCGCAATCACTTCCTACTTACTTGGCCTTCGTCTGTACTCGATAGTGCAAACGAATTTTCGTTATAATTAGATTTGATTAGCGATTAGTAGTTAAATAGATATTTTCTGCGAATTATTTGCCAACCGCCGCCGTATAATTAGGCGACGTTAAATTGCGACGACTTGCAAAAACTGAAACATAAAGACTGTTCTGAAAAACTGCCAACAGACTTAAAAATACATCACATAATCTTGAAGGAATACTCCAAAACCTGCCTACTGATACTGCCCGACAAAACTTGACATTTTTCAATGATATATAAAACCAGAAACACATTTATCTTCTTCGACATGATATTTATTGAAGATTTATTTCAATTATCATTGAGAAAAGACATATCTTTTTGTTGCCGTTTCCTACATCCGAAATGCATTTAAGAATGACCATACAATTTTCGTCGCGATTTTACGGGCTCTCTTCAACGATGACTTCGTATAATATTTTTCGGCGGGACGTTTTATAATCTAAAAAGAATCGATCATTGGCGAAATATATATGCGGAATATATCGTAATAATATATTTTAGAGAGTGAATGAGAGAACGAATGAATGAAAGCGTGTATCTGAGAGAGAGAAGAATTTATTGATAATATATTTGTAAATCCGTAATTTTCCCGATGATATAGTGTCGGTGATCTATCACGGTTTTACCTAATTAATCAATGTAGAATCCTCGTGAAGGAATTATAATTGCTAGTCTTTAATTATGCGATATGCACTTGTAAATTCTCGCGTTATCGTTAATGCGAATTTACACGCGCATTTCGCAAGAAGTGAATGCAAGAAATGAGTATATGAATCGATGAACAGGTACTCAAAAGGCGAGGTGTATAATAAGTGTGAAAATATAAATTGCCATTTTTTATGTAGACAATATATTGTAATTATAATTATGTATTCATAATTACTATTATTTTATTGATAATTATTATATTGATATTATTATCGCTATTGTAAACTCTTGATTAGATTTGAAGCTCTTATTGTAATAATAGTAATTATAATTAATTATTAATTATTGGTTAACTTTTAGAACTCTATTATATGTAATAACAAATTATGATTGTAATAATTGCGGCTTTGATTTTTATACATAATATTTTATATATACATATTATAAGGAAGGAAAGATGATACACATACACATGATTACTCTTCAAGAGACGTAAGTGTATTTTGGTATAGAGCATGTATGCTATATTGTGTATAAGTGTGGCAAGAATAATTTTACGTATCCGATCCGGTCTGTATGAAACCGGAAGAACGAATTTTATCTTTGCGACTCTCGTTGAGTTGGCGATCCGTTTGTTTTCTTTATATTTTATTTCTCGGCAAACGAATATTAGAAAGAAAGGTCTTATATTTAAGATGGATTGTATTTTCATGGAAATTACTTTCCAAAAAATTTATTACACTGGAAATCGAAAAATTTGAACAGCAATTGTTTGTGATAGCTTGCATAAGCTACCTTTGGCGAACGGACAATTATTTTTTAAGTTAATGGACATTTTTTAACAGGCCAGTAGCAAAAGCTTTCGAATTGTAATTGTAATCTCGTGGTAATCGTCTTCTTCGATGTGAAATTTTCGCAATTTATAATTCTCGAGCTGACGTGCAAATAGTATGAATATCGTTTATTTGAATGCAACTCGACCCATCTTCGGGGCGCCGTATTACGTCCTCAATTAAGGCTGTAAATAGGAAGTACCAGATATTCGTTGAGCCACGCACGAACTCAAAGTTCCCAGTAACTTCCGACATTTAAGTGCCTAAAGACCCAGATATACGTCTATTCTCTTCGTTGTCTAGTTTCTACAGTTGGATAAGGTACTGCTTGTCAAAATGACAACGACAAAAACTAACGCTTGTCTATCGCGTAATACATTTTTTTCGCGTCCGTCGCGGAATATTTATTTAAAATATTATAATGGACATTTCATAAAAATATGAAGATAAATTGCACTTTTCTTGATATTCCAATTGAGTAAGATGTACAAACGAGAATAAATAATTCCTTTTATATTGCATTCTTTGCAATATCTACGGTACCTGTGAAAATATTGCAATAGTATAAAATTTTTAAAGAGCAATTTTATTAGCTTTTCACAAACTTTATTTCGTATATTTATTAAATTATATTTTTAAGTTTATAAATTTTAATAAGTTGCTAAATGAACAATGATGTATATAGCATAGAACAATGTACAAACTATTAACCCTCTGATGCTTTCTGAAAATAATTTTAAAACATGCATCATTTTCTTGGTCTCATTTAAAAATCCATTTATTATAATTAAAAATGTAAAAATTTATCAATTTGCTGAGATTTATTCTTCATTCTATGTTTATTAGATTGCGCACTACAAATAATCAAAAAAGTCCCAGTTGCTTGATAGTCTGTCAGAGGGTTAAACAAAGAAGTTATGCTCTTCTATAGAAATAACAAACGATATAAAGCGCCGAAAATTGCAAGACCAAGAGAAGATGCAATAAGTAATGAAACGAACATAATAAAGAAATCTATACGTATATCTCTACAAAAATGGAGTTTAGGGTATATACAGTAGAAATCATTGGCAGCGCTTTATCCAACTTCGCTAGTTTTTACATCGCAAAGGACGAGAGACTGTCGCTCGACACCCTCAACAGATCTCAGCACTCCGGCGAAACGAACAAGGATCATTTATTTTTTAATCAAACTCACAGAAGGGCCAGCTCGTTTCCGTGGAGTGCGCCTAACGAATAAATAATTATATATTATAAATAAATAAATGAATAAATATAAATGCATATATATACATATATATATATATATATTCAGATGCGCATGCGTGTACATACACATATGTAAATCTAACAATAAGTGCGGGAACCTTGAGGTACGTGGAGCAACGAAAACAGAAAATCCTCGAAAGTGGAAGCGCCGGAACGTCGTCAGTCGATGTTTTTGTTTTTGAGGATGCAAGAGTCAATTTTTCGATTGCGTAAACAAAACCCCTGCATCACTGTAACATACCTCTATAGCACGTCTCATAGTTTAATTAGCCCTCGGGTTATCGGTCGTTTAAATTTTCTCAGGCACGAGGAAGCGGTACCTTCAAATATATTTATTTTTCTGACTAGAAAATCGAGGGATTGAAACAGTGATAAGAGGGGTAGAAAAAGAGGGGAAGATGATACATTTTGCAAGCGGTGTTTGGTAATCCGAGGGTTAAGACTGATTCTACAAACGCGTTATAAAAAATGCTAGACCGAGCATATTTTATAATTATACTGTCATTATTATTGTTTGTAATTATACGATTACTATTGAATTTGTTTTTAATAAACGGCAAGTGCCATGATTACATATATGGGCTGCAGTATGATCATTCTTAGCTAACTCCTATCTTGGTAAGTTTAATATTAAATGAACAAATCATAAATGAATTGTTTACGGGAATTATAAAAAGATCTTCTTTTATTAAATAAATGTTAATTTATTATTAATTATTATCAAGAAATTGGTTATCAAAGAATTGTTTTTACAATAAAAGAAGAATTAAATAACGTCAAAAAATTAACGAACAATTGACTTATAATAATAAACAAATGCGAGAATTAAAAGTGTCAGATAATAATTTTTTATTTTTGAATGAATAAACTAAAACATGATACATTTAATAAAATACAAAACGAGATCATACTGATAAAATGAATTAGTTCTCGATTCAAAGATATAATAGAAACTTTGCAGATGAATGAACTTTTTATTTCCCGTATATATAATAAAATAAAATAATTGTGCAATACAATGTAATTTTAGTGTATTTTAATTTGAAATGTAAATATTACAAACAGTTTAGTTCTATTATTTTATTGTAATAGATTATTATTGTAATAGATAGTTTTAGAGAAATTACAATCAGGTGTAGCAATATTTATAATTTTGATTTTTTTAGCGGGAGGTTGAAGTTTATCTGCATTTAAATTTCTTTGTCGCTAAAATCGAATGCTTCGTTTCTATTTGTATTTATGTTGCTATTAAAATTGACGTTACTATTCGTATTTTGATTGCGCATTTTACGTAAATGTGAATCATCATTACTGAAAAAACGTCTTTGATGCTGTTTGGCATCAAGATTTGTATTGAAATTTTCATTAATATTTACGTTTTCATTGTTATTCAGTGATCTCATCGTGTCATCTTTAATTTTCTTTTGTTGCTTCACTTTTTTCGGCGTTAAGAGATATTGGATATAATTCTGAAAATTCAACTCTTTGAATTTTTTGTCTGTGATTAAAAAACCTAAATTTCTTAATCAATAACGAACAAATTTGTATGAAAATTAAATTAATTAAATTTCATACTCTATTTATCAAGAAATTACTATAGAGTAATTTTGTCATGTGTAATATATATACAAACCAAAATAATTATTTTTTAAATTATGTATTATAAGAAAAAAATATATAGAAACCATATTTTGTTTTTTTATTAAAATTAAAATTATATTAATTTTATTATTTGTTTTTTTTGTATTCTTTATGTATTCCACTAATACCTCATAGAGCTCAATGCTGTCGTAAGATGTTTGGTGTTCTATGATCAGGTAGCTTCTCGGTTGGCATAATACAAAATGTATTTCGTTCGCTTTGCTTGAGTATACTTTCAAGACGCTGCAAAAATTCTAAAATAGTCTCCAAATAATAGGATTTTCTTGCATCAGCATATTGCATCAGCGACAACAAGATCAAGAGCTTAAAAAAATAAAAAGGTAAAAATAAAAATTTAATTAGACATATTTTATAATAAATAACTCTTTGTTTTCAAAACAGATTTAGCAAAAAAAATTATAAAGAAACTAAAAGATAATTAGATTGTGTTACATTTAATATCTATATAAACTAACAATAATATATTTAGCACTTATTGCTAAAAAATAATTTATTTATTACACAGCCGAATATTCGGCACGAAATCATTGAAAAAGACATGATTGTCAATGTTCGGAATTCTCTTTGATTTCTGCTGCGTGCGTCTACTGCTGCGTGCGTCATATATGAGCGTTCACGTTAAAAGTTGTTTGCGAATTTAGTGAGAGTAAAAAAATTGTTAATTATATAAAGCATATGATATAAAGTGTTATCGTTCGCTTGAGTGAAATGTGCTAAATTCAATTTATTCTTTATGATATCATCAATTGACACTTTAAAATAGCTTATAACTGAGAGAGAGAGAGAGAGAGAGAGAGAGAGAGAGAGAGATTGAAGTACATAAAATAAATTTGAAATTTTGCATGCTGATTTAAATTTGTATGTAATGCATTTTTAAATAATCAAAGTTTTTTTCTTTTTTTAATGTCAATGTTCATTAAATTAGAAAAAAGTCACCGATACCGACATAGGCTGTTTTTAGATAATATTTCTTAAACAAAAATAAAACTTTAAAAACATAAACTAAAAAGTGTCTTTCATCAGATAATATAAGCAGTTTTTATAATACTGTTTGCAATTCTGCAATAATTAATTTTTTCGTAAGATAAGCAAAAATGAGCGTCTTACAAAATAAGCTCCAAAATTGACACAGTAGGCAGTAATACTACGTATTTCTATTTTTTTTTATAGGAATTATTTGTACAAAATATTTATAAGTGAATGTTTCTAAAATATTTCAAAATTTTTTCACTTTGTTATAAAATATTTTTATTGAATTATATGCATATTTACTTTATGCTATTCTGCAAGACGCAAATATGTAACGCGATAGTTTTTCAAGAGTTTTTCCATATATGCACGATTGTCTCCAGCTCCAATAGAGTTATTTACACTATAAAGCAACATTATAAAGATTAAATTAGTTCATGATTTTTTTACAGATGTGGCGGTTTATGCTGCACTTCAATTTAAAATTTAAAATCGTATTATGAAAAAACTAAGAGAAAAAATAAACAAAACTGATTTAGGGAATAACATGCATTTAAAATGACATATTATCAATAATATTACGTCATTTTAAATGCTTGTAATTCCCTAAATAATATTATCAATAATATAGACATTATTATTTAAAAAACAATAAAGAAAAAGGGCTACGAGCCAAAAATTATTTTATAAAATTAAATCTTAATATAGAAGTTTGAACATAAATAAAAGAAACAATCCTTTAGTTGATTTAATACAATGCGCTAGCAATAAACAAATAGACGTTTCGATCGCGACCGAATCATTATCAATGTTAAAAACATATTACAAACGGTAAATAATACATAATATAAACTTACTTACTGAACTTCGCTCTTTCTAACGAACGCTGGTAACACAAAAAATCATTATCCTGTTCACAGTTATAATGTAACTTGGAAAAAATCATCGCATGACAATTAATTGCAGTCAATCGTTGAATTGCTTGAATAATGAAATAATATATAATAAAACTATTTAAATTACGCAATTTGCAAAAGAAAATCGTAAGAATTTTATTTTCGCATTTGTAGAATTCGTTTTTAGCTGATTTGATGTAGAAACAAATCATATATACACGAATTATGAATTTGTACTTCTTTAATTAGTTAAATAGATCATGATTTTATTAATATTAATAAATAAATGCAATAGTAAGTTTCTGAAAAATAAGAGGGTGTTCACTTTAGGAGACCTGTCAGTATCGGTGACATTCCTCTAATGTTTATTGAAATTCTACTTTAAACAAAAAATAATTACAGAAGAATAAATGATATTAGGACTACTTACTATTCGTTAAAAGTAAGTTAATCAAAGAAATTATACGTTTATTTTAGTATATTAATTTCTTCCTACGTCATATAAAGCTAATAATTTTTTAAAAACACGTAAGTAAAATATGCGTATGGTAATCAAAACAATTTCTTTAAAAACAAGAGAAATATACAGAAGAACATTTACTTTGAAAATTCATCGATGTTAATAATTAATTCGAGATAGATTCGATGTAGTAATATATGTAATTATACAACCATTATTTAATCGAATAATTTTTTTTTGTTAAAATGTGATGTCGAATTTACGAAGAGCATTGAGAATGTCCTTTCTGTGAATTTTGATTCTGACATTTACGTAATTCTGCTCATCATCGTCCGACATTGTTGTTGTATCAGAATATTGCATCATCCTTCTGTTGTGATTATTCTGATTGATCTTCAAATGAGTCTGTTTCGATAGGAACTTTAGAGAGGCCATCACATCTGCTACGATATCTCTCGCTATGATCTCTTCGTCTAACGTATTTATGCTCGGGAAGTCTCTAATGATCACCCTTCGGGTGATCTTATCAAGTTGAGTTGCTACTTGGAAGACGGGCGAGGATACTCCGCTTCTTCTGTTATGTGTCACTAAAGGTATTTCAGCCTCTTTGAGATTCTTAATGTTCTTTGAACTGATGATATGATTAATGCGGTTTAAACGAGATTCTATTATCTTCCACAATTTTTGAGCCAATTCCTGAGCGTTCACGTTCACGTTCACGTTGATCACATTCTTGTTCTTGATTTTATCGATCTTAACTGTTCCTGTAAATTGTACTTTTAGTTTTGAATGTAAATAGGTATCTAAATAGGTATCTATTGTTAATAAATTATCATTGTATGAACAAAATAATAAAACGAAATAATGGATAAACTCGAGCTTTTATTGATGATAATGTTTTCATGTCATCGAATAACATTAACTGTATTATTACAAAGACTAATTCTATATATGAAATTAATGATTACAACAATATGTGAATATATTATTGTAATCACTGATACATAACATCTACTACGAAATTAATTTGTTTGTAAAAATTATTATAATAATTATTATAATATTCTTATAGATAATTGCGATAAAAAATTAATTCTTTTATCTATGTCTTTATTTTTCTCTTACATTTTCTTGTGAAGTTTGCTCCAAAGAATCCATCTGGAAAGATTTATGAATTATGACATTATTAAATCAGTTATAATTCGTATATGTTACATTGTTTACAAAATATTTAATAATTTTTTGCATTTTAAAATTAGCAATATTCGATATAGATGCTGATGATGTTTTATTATCAGTATATCGTTAAAGATTAATAATAATAATAAATATAAAAGATTGTTTTTATATACAGAAATAATTTGAAAAGAGACATTAAAGCTTTTTTATTGAGTTCTTAATGTCATATTAATATTATTATTATATAATTAATTATTTTTTTACTTGTTCTTACTTGAGCACAACTGAGCACCACTAGGGTAGCTCACAATATTGGTAAGCACGCAATGTAATTGATACAGATAAAATCATTTGAAACTGGCTTAGCGTGTCTCAAAACGACGAATGCATATATAAACCGACTTTTATATGCAATAACACGATGTGCCGGTGGAATTTTCGGCGCAGTGCAATGGTGCGATATCAAGACCTCAGAAATTAAAGACGGTGCAATTTGTGTTGGAGATTTAATCCGATAATTCATGATAAATCCAGGCCGTCCGCTTATAGGCAGTTTGTGGACCCACGCAAATCAATGCTGATCAATGAGACGCAATGTTCGTAAGTGCAGCTTTCACAAAATGTATCTTTGAATCACAACGGCAATTATCTTTTTGCACATTTCATATTGCCACGATCATATGTGTAATTTGTATACAAATTAATATGATGTCATTTAATTTATCTTGACCATCTATCTACTTATATATTCCAGTATTTAATACATTCATTGTTTTCTTTGTAAATTAACATTATTATTAAAAACGCAGAAAAATGCAAAAATGATAGCTTCACTTTTTGTGTCGTACTCACGCAATTGGCTCTTCTCGATTATTTTTATTTGTCTATAGGTTATGGCACATTAAAAACTTAAGCAGTAAGCTAATTCAATATTTCAATATTAATCAATATTTTTAATTTGCTATTGTTTATATTTTGACACTTGTAAGCTTTTTAATAGGTCTAACGTATAAATATGATAAATAGATATAATGTATAAATATATCCTGACTTAAAAGCGAGAATATATTTTTTAATATACAGAATTTTTTACCCAGTGAGAAATGATAATGATTTCGACATCGATACGATGCTTGGTTTGAGATGGCGATTGCGTTACGACAGCTTCGGTTGTTGAAATTGGTTGAATATCGTTGCGTCTGTTACAGTCACATTCTTTTTCATTTTTCTTTCTCAAATAGGTTAATCGATTCGCTGTGTGCGTTGCTAATTATAAAAAAAAGCTTCTCATTTTGAGCAACTGAATCTGAATTATTACGTGACGTATTCCAGTCAATATTTGATGGTAAAGAATGTACCTAATAAAAGAAAAAGAATTAATTCAAAATATTATAAGTACACGAAATTATTACAAATTGTTATTATATTATTTCTTATAAATATCTTTTATAATTCTATTAAATCAAATAAGTATATGTTTAGAATATAATATAATATACAATATATTTAATAATATAAATTTTTTAAATTGTTAAAGTAAAATGCTTTTTCGATTATTTAATTTAAGTAAAATTTAAAACTTTAAGTAAAATTTAAAAAAATTTTTAATATTTTATTTAAATTTATTTTACCAAAATGATCAACGCGTTAATAACAAACAAAACTGAACTTCTCGGCCACATTTTACTATTTGGTCCGATAAGCTAAACACAATCGCTTTAAATATGATCGTAAAATTAATATTGAGAATTTCGATCCATGTTATCCAATTTTAACGACTGTTGTCTTCGCATCACGTTTTCATCTATATTTTATATCGGATGCAATGTCGAGATTTGTTGTATTCGATTTAATTTTTTTACAGTCGACTCTTTCTTTTATTCGCATGTCTCATTACGGACAATCATTAATTAAAACAATGTCAATTTGATTATGTATAGCAACTATACAAAACATGGGATAATCACATGGACGATTCACAAACTTTAAGAGAAAATAGATTATATTATTAATTAAATTATCACTGTAAAGATCTTAATAATAATTATTATTTAAAAGTATCTTTGCGAAGATTAAATTTAATATTTGCATTGTTTTCTAGTATTAGCATTACGATCTAATTTACATGATCTAATTTACATGAAAATTAAATAAATCAAGTAAACAATAAAACTAAGGCAAGTCGATACAAAATCTATATTATTTAATTAAAATTAAACGTATCAAAATATTTATCAAAATATTTATCGCGTACTACTTCTAATTTCAATAGAACGGAAAGAATTAAAAGTAGTTATTGATATCAATTTTAATTAAGAAGTTAATATCTTAATAATGTTTAATATTTCCGATAACGTATCGCGATTGATCAATCAGTCTGTTCTTCATCGATCATTAACTACGTGAATAAGCTCTCGAGATGAGTGGAGAGGATGTAATAATTACTTCAACGTCCGTTATAACAATAGATGTATTTTCTGCTCAATTACACGTACAAGAGTTCAATCCGGCTGATCTATTTTTATGTATTGTAATTACATTTATTGATAAATGTTAAAATATATAACAGAATAAGAAGTTTTAGTGGGATAACAGTGGGTGTAATCCTCATATCATGAATAACTGATGTCAATTGCTAAAAATATCTCTTATTGAAAGAAAGAACGTTTATTATGCAAAACGTCTACTATAATTTATGTATATTTTCAGGATTGAAGAGTCACCAAGAAATCTGCGCAGCTTTCATCAGTAGGCAGACACTGTCCGAATGCTTCTAATAATAACGGTTCCTCTATAACTGCTGTCTCATAATCTCGAAATGATATTTTTCCGTCGTGATCGACGTCGAATTTCTTCAAGGCCAACTCCGACAAATCTTTCACTCCTTCGTCTGGATCTTCTTCACCGGGCTGCTTTATCAGGCAATTTCTATGAAATATTTGATTAGAAAATATTTGATTATATAATAATTATGAATAAAACAGATATGATTAAGTTAAAATTTTAATTGCTTTTTACTTGAGCAGCTGAAAGATTTCGTCTTTTGTGATGTATCCGTCGTTGTTTAAATCGTACACGTGAAAGCAGAAAACGATTTTGTCACGCAGACTACCTCGCAAGAATACATCTAATCCCATGATCCACGGTTCAAGTCTGATAGCACCTTCGATCTCTCGATCCCAACAGCAAAACAAGCGCTCTACCAGAATGTCCTCGGTGATTACGTGAAACGTATTGTGAAGGAGTTCTCGAAAAATGGTTCTATCGATTCTCTGAGCACACACAATGTGAGTTTGAAGAAATTTTTTAATTTAAGTAATTTATATATGTTTCTTATTTGTCTAAATACAAAATCAACTTTCAATTGCGCGTGGTGTAATTACCTCGACAGCTGGCCTCGATTGTGGCCTTCTGCCGATAGATATCGATCGTCCAACTTGTTGTTGGCTGGAATTGGTAGTCAATTTCTTGTAAAGTTTGCAGAGACTATCCAGTTCCATCCTGACAAAAGAAAATCTTCAAATTAAACGGTAATCAAAATAGTTATATGCGTGATTATGTTTTATTTTATACATTTATGCTACTGAACTAGTATAATTCACAAAGTATTAATAATTTTTATTCTATTGGAGAATATTATTTTTGTAAATCGCGTAATTCCATAACTTTTGTCTGTCAGTTCAAATCCACTTAATTCCATTTGTTTCTCTTTGTCAAATAAATGACAAAATAAAACACTGGAAAATTAATTCAAGAGTCATTGCGTCTCTGCAAACTCGCCTGGAGAATCTTGTCTTTTTTTTAAGGGATTCGATCACTTTTATGATGTAATTCCTAGCGCCTCCACCCTCCGGCATCTTTCGGCGACGTCTCCTTCTTGATGACTCGTCCTTGCCAGAAGCAGCGGAGATATGCCGCTTTGAGTTTGTCGACACTCTGCGACCGCTCGTCAAGAAAATGGAAACGCTTTTCATGAATGTCGTGCCGGCACAAATGCTTATACCTGTCCGACCCTCGACATCGATGTCGGCGCCGGCGCTGACGCCCGGCTTTGCCCTCCCATTTGGCGTGACATTTCGTTGTTCAGACATCTCCATTCAGTGACTAAAAGTTCTAAATTAATTGAAATTTTAATTTAGGTTGTTGACATTACAGGTAATTCTAAATTATTCGAACAGTTTTAGCTTTTTATTTGTATAGCAGAATTAAGAATCTATTC